AAAATATTTTCAAGCGGGTGGAGGTGGGGGATCGAAAGAGGGTGGTCACTTGAACAAAACCCGATAACCTAACCTAACCTAACCTACCCTATTGATAAAGATATTTAAATAATGTTTTATATAACTTTCTCAATATTTTTATGTATTTTTCATTAGTTTTACCTTTGAATATTGTTTAAGAATGACTATATAAATATTTACATGCCTAGAAATGTATAAAAATTGGCATATTCCACGAACTTTTTATGGTACAGTGGTGGGGGAGATCTCCTCTTTCGATCCCCCCACCATCTATACCTTTACCATCTTTTTAAACAAATGAACTTATCTTTAATTGTTTTTTTGAATTTGTACGAAATCCTTAATTTTACAATGATGTGTTTATAGTGACTATAATTATATTTTTCATGATGAAATGCTGCAAAGTACTATTACGTACAAAAGAGGCAATTAAAAATAGGTTTGTAATCAATTTTTATTTTGTAGTACTTACGAAGTGTGCGACCCTTATTGGACGATGACAACTACCATCGGATGGAGCAGTTAGCGCGAGAATTTGAAAATGGTATTGGTAAAAAACTCCAATTCTATTTGTGGTTGAAATCCTGGTGGTCAACCAATTATGTTTCTGACTGGTGGGAAGAATACGTCTACTTACGCAGTCGATCTCCGTTAATGATCAATTCGAATTTTTACGGAATCGACGCCATATTAATGCACCCGACAACGAATCAGGCTGCAAGAGCTGCTTCTGCTATTTACTCATGTCTCATTGTCAGACGTCTTATTGAAAGACAAGAACTGGAACCAATTCTTATCCAGGGAATCGTACCCTTATGTTCTTCCCAGTACGAAAGAGTTTTTAATACCACTAGACTTCCTGGTGTTGAAACGGACAAGATTCAGCACCTCTTAGATTCAAACCACATCGTTGTTTATCATAAGGGACGATTTTTCAAAGTTGTGATATACAAAGGAAGGATATTAAAGCCATGTGAAATTCAAATGTAAGTAAATTTTTTATATAATAATCTTTATAGTAGGTAGGAAGTAGGAACTAGAGCAACGCAGTCCAGGACCGGACTGCGCAAGGTCAAAACTGGACCTCAAAAAATTTTTTGAAAGTAAATTATTCAAATAAACTGTTTAAAAAATATTTTTCTGTAGATAACAAAGAATGTTTGGGATTAAAACGCCACCCTCATTATTTTTTGGAGGGAGAAATACGTTTTTTTCAGGGCCCCGATAAAAATTTGCTAAAAATATCCGGACCTCACCTAAAATTACTTGTCAACCCCTGCTCTAAGTCACACAGCTGAAATATGTTTAACGTAGAAGAGTTGGCTGTAGTCATTAATAAAAACTTTGAATAATAAAAATCGGAATCATTGGGAAACAGGACAGAGGGGTTTGATAAAACAGCAATAAAGTTTTATTCAACGTAATTAAAACGATACTGTTCTTAAACAAAGACTCACTTTGACACAAAGACAGAGACTTACTTTCTTTAATAATAATACCTTTTTATACTACTNTTTTTAAAAAAAAAATTAATTTATACAAAATACTTTTAATATTGTATTAGAAGAATTTTTCTTTTCTTTGTTAAAGGCAACTATCAATGCAATTTATTACCTATTACATATATTTGTGCTTACAAGATAAGATTTAAACTCTTTAGAATTCCTTTTGTGAAAGTATTGAATAAAGTAATTGTTATTGATTTAATTTGCTATTTTTTTTTGGTTTTAAGGGAGTGCAACATCGCACTTCACGAATTCGTGATCTGTATGTATACTTGTACACAATTGATATGTCGTATAAACACGTATACTTCGTTTACTTTCTCTAGCGATGTGTTCCTTCCAATGTCTTGGATACGTACTGGCAAAATCGTAGGTAGGGAGAAAACAGCACATTATACACTGGACTCTTGTTCTTTAAACATACTTTTTCATACAGTACCTGCCAAAAGTTTTGTTCAATCATGACTAGTAGTGCGAGTCGAAGACAAGCGTTAACGCCTCTAATATGTCTCTGACTGGACCTATAACTACCGATAATTATCGAATATATCGATAGTTGTCGATATATCGAAGCTTATATCTATAATTATCGATAATTATCGGTATCGATATATTGATAACAATATTACCAGCTTCGAATATATCGATAGTTGTCGATATATCGAAGCTTATATCTATAATTATCGATAATTATCGGTATCGATATATTGATAACAATATTACCAGCTGATAACTATCAATATCTGCTTCGATATATCGACAACTATCGATATATTTGATAATTATCGATAGTTGTCGTTTGTTATTGATAATAGACCGTTGCGTAGCCTTCGGGGGGACACCGGTTCGATTCCGAGTCCGTCTGTCTTGATCCATGTTTTTCTGTGGTTTTCTTCGATCATTTAGACAAAGGCTGAAGGATTAATATTTCATAGTTTTTTTTTACCCTATTCTGCCTTCATTTTTTCCGTTTCATTTTTCTCAACTCAACCATCCCCTCACCTAATTGCACGATTACTAAAAGGAGGCTTGACCATTCGCCGTATCTTTCGTTGTAACCCCAAGGGACTGCCCGAAATTTCTAATAATGTGGAATAGTTGTTAAAATTATTTCCAGATGCTTTCCTAACTGTAAGTTATGTACATACTTTATTTTGTAAGAATAACAAGATTGTTTTACACTTACGAGGGTGGATTGATAAGTTTCCGGCCTGACCAAGAAAAACAAGGTTTTTAAAAATTTTTTTTTTTTATTTCTCAACATAATCTCCAAGGCTGATACATTTCTCATAGCGGTGTTCCAGTCTATTAATGCCATCTTTATAGACTGATTCGTCAAGCTCCTCAAAATAACCATTTACAGCTTCGATTACTTCTTCATTGTCCGCAAATCTCTTACCGCCAAGCCATTTTTTGAGATTAGGGAACAGAAAATAGTCACTCGGGGCTAGGTCTGGAGAGTAAGGAGGGTGCGGCATCAATTCAAACTTTAGATCGTTGATTTTAGCCGTCGCAACGATTGACGTGTGCGCTGGTGCGTTATCGTGATGAAACAAGATTTTTTTCTTCGCCAGATGAGGTCGTTTAATTTTCACCTCGTGGCTCAAACGTTGCAATAAGTCTGCGTAGTATTGACCAGTGATAGTATTACCCTTTGCAAGGTAATCAATGTATATAATACCTCTTGCATCCCAAAAAACAGTAGCCATAACCTTGTTCGCCGAAAAAATTGTTTTTGCCTTCTTTGGAGTTGGTTCCCCTGGTCCAATCCACTGTTTAGACTGTTCTTTGGTTTCAGGAGTGTAGTGGTGGACCCACGTTTCGTCAACGGTTACGAATCGACGCAAAAATTCGCTTGGATTACGCTTATACAATGACAAATTTGCGGTAGAAATGTTTTTTCGAATCAATTTTTGGTCGACTGTTAGCAAACGCGGCACCCATCTTGCACAGAGCTTTTCCATATGCAAATGTTGGTGCAAAATATGTTGCACACGTTCATATGACATCTTACAGGTCTCAGCTATCTCACGCACTTTCAATCTGCGGTCTCCCAGCACTATTTGATGAATTTTTTCGATCATATCTGGAGTTGTGACCTCAACGGGGCGTCCTGAGCGAGGCCCATCAGAGGTGCTCACACGACCCTTTTTAAACTCGGAAACCCACTGCTTAACGGTTGAATATGACGGGGAGGATGTCCCCAGTGTTGAGTCCATCTCTTTTTTAATTTCCTTCGGCGTTAACCCCTTCAAATAAAAGTATTTGATGACAGCACGATTTTCCTGCTTTTCCATTTTTACGAAAACCACAGAGGCGTCTTGTTCAGCGTGCTGTCAAACCTACACTAGCAAGGAGATCGGGCTGAAACTATAGCTACAAGCTATCCAAGGATGGTACTATAGAATGTCACCTCAAGGTAGGCCTAGTGGCGTCATCTCTTGGTTAGGCCGGAAACTTATCAATCCACCCTCGTATATGCAAGACCGTAGGTGTTTTCAATCGCAATAGAATTGGTTAGAGTAATTTTGCAAACTAAAGTATGTAAAGTAATTCCAAGGCACCTACTGGAATCTTTTATGCATTTCCTAAACTGTTATTCTTTTTAAGAATGTGTTTTTTCCACATTCCTGTATTTTAAAAATGCGCCAAACTAGTAACTTTTAATAAGTGTAATTTATGTTGTCAAGCAAATGTAAAGAATATTTTTACTACGTATTTATCAATTTTGAATTTCATAATAAGATATAGACGGTATTTAAATGTTGACACTAAATTTTTACGGAAGTGCAAGTAATTCTAAAAATATTCACGCATTACGTGTTTCCCTTATCTGCGTTCTGAAAAATAATGAATCACGTATCACCAGTTTTGACGTTAGTATTTGCAAACCATATAAATTGAAATTAAAAAAAAAATGAAACGTTTACATAGAACGGTATTCATATTTGGTTTCTATAAATAGTCGTCCAAACGAAAGTTATTGGTTACCATCATCATCATCATCATAAGGTCGACTGACTGGACACGCACCTCCACTCTTTCCTATCCTGAGCTAATCTTCGCATTTCTCTAAAAGTAGAACATTCCACATCCTTAACGATTGGCGAACAGTAATCTAATTTAGGTCTTCCTATACCCCACGTAACTCCTGTTTCTGCCTCTAATATGTCTCTGACTGGACCTTCATGCCTGAGAAAGTGTCCTACTAACCTATCTCGCCTATTTGTTATTGACTTCCGTAGAGTCCTCTGTTCTCCTATTCTTTCTAATACCTCTTCATTTCTAACCTTTTCTACCCACGATATCCTCATCATCCGCCTATAACACCACATTTCGAACGCTTCTAACCTTTTCCCGCCGCGCCCACTGTCCATGTTTCGCACCCGTACAACGCCGTGCTCTAAACATACACCTTTAACAACCTTTTTGGAATTTCTAAATTAACCGTTCGCGAGCATAGAAGTGACTTCTTTTTATTGAAGGCAACTCGACCCTGCGCTATCCTCTGCTTTATATCCCTACTACTCCTTTCGTCCTGACTTATCTGATCTTATCGTTCCCTAAGTACTTTTTCTTCTGTATTTTTAATTTACTTTCTAAAGTAATATTATTTGAAAATTACTATGAAATGACAATACAAGCGAAACTATTCGAATAAATTTCCGTTAAAAGCTGGAAGCAGAGCCTGTTGCACAACTTGCAATTTTATTCACAATCTGTAATCACTCAGTGGCGTGTAAATTACTATTTGCTGATGTTTCATAGGCCAACGTATTATACGTAAAATAAGAAAAGAATGTAGCATGATAATAGTACTTGTAACAGCAATTAAGAAATAATAAATCAATAAAAAGTATTAATTTATATAAAATTACATGTCAGCTAGAAAGCCTCTCCCTAACCGTTTGCGACTTCCACATCTTTCCTTATGGTTACCCTATCCTCCTAAATAAATATTAATTTTAAAAACCGTTCACAAATATTTAATTTAATTGTAACAGTCAACAGCAACAAAAGTTACGATTGTATTAATATATATAACAGTTGATAAAGTAAAATACAAAATACCTGTAAGAGAAAGACAAGAAAAAGAAAAATTCAAAGAAAATACAATAAAAGTGAGTTTTATGTAGTCTCGCAATTTATTACAATAAAATGTAGTTGGGTTCATGGGATTCTTTAATCGTTATCAGTTGTATTTATTATATTTATATTTATTTCAGACAAATGCAACAAATTTTGAACGATGAAACTGAACCTCAGAAAGGTGAAGAGAAGTTAGCAGCGCTTACAGCTTCAGAAAGAACTTCCTGGGCCAATGCCCGAAGGCATTTCTTCAGCCGAGGAATTAATAAACAGTCACTAGATTTAATTGAAAAGGCCGCTTTTGTGGTTGCCTTGGATGATGAAGATTATGTATATGACCCGGTAATTATTATTAATTAATTTATGTATATTGAAAAGATTAGTTTATAAAATATAATTCGAAGTGGTCTGTATTCTGTCGAAACTGCCAGACGCGGATCGCGATTTCGATCTTCTTAGATCTCATCAGCGCGTCGCAGGTAGCTCTGACAGAACACAGACCAACTTTTACTTGCTGTCTTAATAGTGCGTTTTAGAAAATACTACAAATGGCGCAGTAAACGCCATCTGTAGCACGATGCTATATTTTAGGATTACGTATACTTCAACAAGGTCCACTTGTGTGGATATCTACTTGCTGAAAACGAATCCCGGCGTAGCCAAGCTCAACGTGATAGGCACGTTAGCTTAATCGAATAAAATAATTCGAAGTGGTCTATATTCATACGTAATCCTAAAATGTAGTATCGTCCTACAGATGGCGTTTACTGCGTCATTTGTAGTATTTTCTAAAACGCAGATTAGTTTATGTTTTAGAAACATATAATACTTTATTCTTATTTTTTCTATCGTTACAGAAAGATCCAAGTAAACTGGATAAATATGGGAAAACACTTCTTCATGGTAAAGGATACGATAGGTGGTTTGATAAGTCTTTCACGTTATGCATTGGAAAGAATGGCAGAGTAAGTACATAAACTTAGTTTTTATTCGATTTAATAATCTACTGATTAACTTTTTCTATATTTTTTTTTCTTTGTTTCAGATTGGATTCAATGCAGAGCATTCATGGTAAGTGAAAAGTTATATTTTTAAGAAACTGATTTTTTTTTGTTTCATCCTTAATTATCCTTATTCGTCATAATAACTGAATTCTATTAGGTTGTTTTTTTTTACTTATGAAAAATTGCAAATATTTCATATATTTNAACAAAAACAAATTAATCTGTTATTCTTATAATTTATCTCCAATAAAATTATGATATTCTCATTTAATACTACATTATTAATGTATTCATATATAACGCAATGGCCACCACTATAGGCGCTGTTTTGTGTCGAGGTTGTGCAAATTTTATCCCAGTCGACTACGTTGCGTCGACTGATAGTCTATTTTAGCTAGGGAAGGGAAAAAGTGTCCGGAATCAGCTATTTAAGCAGTGTATTCAATCACCAACATTATTAATTAAATAGGCCTCTGTATTTCTTGCCCTAATATATATTAATAGGATTATTCAAGCAATTTAAGGGGTAAAAAATGTTGTATTTAAATTATTTTAACTTTCGACAACTCTTAGACACTTTATTTTTGATCTGTTTTAATCTACCCTAAAGAAGCTTTAACACCATAAAGCGAAACGTCGGTGTGTCGTGACATTTTCTCTTTTTGAATAGTCCTTTTAATCTAACAGAAATTCTGGCAGTTACAATTTTTTAATCTAAGAATTTAATTTTTTTATAGACTTAAGGATACGTAAATTGCGACCTTTATAGTCGTTTTGGTTTAATTTTGCCGGTTTTGGATTATAAAGTGAAAATAGTAAATCTTTTACTTTATTATTTATTATTAGAACAATAAATCTACTAACCCATATATCTGCCACAAGGAAGAGAAAGATACCCTTGTATTTTTCGGCTAGTAAAAACTTTTGAGTGTTTCATTCCCACTAGCCAATAATGCTGGTGGGCGGACAGCCCCTCCGGACTACGCCGGAAGGCCCTCTTCAACCTCCTTTCAGGAATTGTGGGAATGGGTGGGTGGTGGTTCGGATGAGTAAGATGAGACGGATGAAATGAAGACGGAAGAGAATGAAAGATTGGAACATTGTGGAACATTACTGAATTTGCCTAAGTGATCCAAGAAAACCACAGAAAAACTTGGCAAATGGACCCGGAATCGAACCGGCGTCCTCCCGAATGCTAAGCAAAGGTGTAAACCTCTAGGCCATGCCGCTCGGTTAGTCGTAACGTTCGTTGTACTTTATAACATAGAGAGATAACATACCAGCAGTGTTTGTTACCTACCTGTGGGTTGATAGATTTTTTTTTTCCAGTAATAAATAATAAATTAAAACATTTTGACTTGATAATCCAAAACCTACAAAATTAAACTGAAGTGACCATAATTAATTAAATTAATTAATCAAATTTGAAATTTGTTGAAGAAATAATTAATATACACAGTTATATTTGATATACAAAATTCACAGTAACAATTACATTTTAGTTGTGCAAGAAAAGCGTAATTCACGTGTTTTAACACACTTTCTTATGATAAACTTGTTGTCACATTACTTTTTTTCAGCATTAGTTTTTTCAAAAATGGAATACATGAAATACACTTTGTAATTAGTATCTAATGTTTTTATTATTAAATTGTATTTACGTATTTCGACAATTCAACTTTGTTATTACAGTTTTTCGTTTCAGTGTGAAATTATATTGAATTTTTTTATTTTGTTTTGGATGTTTGTAATATTTTACAGGGGTGATGCTGCTATCATGTCTCACATGTGGGAGGAAGTTATTTACGACGATGTCCTTCAGGCGCGGTAATTCTTGTTATACAATTTATTTTTCAATGTGAAATGTCTGTAGATGTACATTTTTGGAGGTCCAGGTGTTATGCTATAGCAGTTTTTGCTGTCGCTCTTTATATTTTGCTTTATTTCTGTTTTATCTTGGTTTCGGTTTTAATTTATGGTTGTTGGTTTATATCTTCAGGGGTGATGCTGCCATCGTTGCTCATTTGGCTGAGTATATAATCCTTGCTGACAAGGACGATCGGTAATTATTTTACTTTTTGACTGGTTGACACCCTTTTGCCAAAACAAATTCAGCAAACTAATTATTTAAATGGCAAATAAGTTTAACCATTTCCACCTTTTATTGTCTATATAAAACTCTATATTAAATTCCAATTAATAATAAAAGGAAAAATTTTAAGTTTTCCACGTCTAATAGTTTTGATAAATTACGGACGAAATGCTTCGTATTAATTTGGTAGCAAATTCAAAAGGCAAACATTGAAAATACTATAGTTCATGAAGTATAGTATAGTTCAGCAAGTAGATATCCATATATTTAAATGGACCTTGTTGAAGCATACGTAATCCTAAAATGTAGCACTGTACTACAGATGGCGTTTACAGCGCCATTTGTCGTATTTTCTAAAACGCGCTGTTAAGGCAGCAGGTAAAAGTTGGTCTGTGTTCTGTCGGAGCTGCCTGCGACGCGCTGATGAGATCCAAAAAGATCGAAATCGCGATCCACGTCTCGCAGTTTCGACAGAATACAGACCACTTCGACTTATTTTTATTCTATTATACTATAGTTCACAGTAAATATCAGTAGATGGCGATGTACTGCCAACAACTTTATATTTTTCTGTTATAATTAGATATTGAGATGAGATAATGTTCTGAATCATTTTTTTTATATTAAGAACATTATATTTTGTTATCTAACTTCCCCAAAATTAACACAATGTGTACCTATTCTTGTTTTTTTTTTAAACAAAAACAAATTAATCTGTTATTCTTATAATTATTGTCCATATAATTACGGTTAAATTTATTTGCTGGTTTAATCCCCTCCAATTTATTCACAATTAACTCGGTTTTAGTTTTTATTTCATTCAGTTTATTTTTAAGTACATAAATAACTATTGCAAACGAAGTCATAATCATTAAGTACCTATTTAATTCATTATTGCTACATCTTTGTACATATTCATCACTAATTGCTTAGTTATTAAGTTTTTTATTTGCCAGTATTCATGCTTGCACAGTGAATTAATGCTTTGCTGATTTTTTACCTCTTTTGTAAGGTCTCAATTGTCGTTGTAAAATTTAATTCAAATGCTGTATCAAAAGTGTGGGTATATATCGGCTACTAACTACTAATTCTAAGGACTATTTTGTATTAATTTAATTTGCAAGGTACAATAACAAACAAAATTGTATGATACGTATATCTTTTTAGTAACACAATACGATTTTTTTAAACGTTTTATTATGAAGGATTCCGCTATATTATTCCTTCGTAAAATGGCCCTTTTTTTAGACTCGTTGAAACTTTAGATTTTCGTAGTTCTCGACGTGTAAATCAAGTCTCAATAGGCGCTAAGTCGTAAAAACTCGTATGTCCCCTTAAAATTGCTTTCTTCCGTAAGGACCTCCAGGGTATAATTATATCTATTATTATAGGTATATACTATACGTATTGAATACGTAAATAGTATACGAGGTCTGTTCAAAAAGTATCGCGAATTTTGTGTTTTTTCAAAAATTATCTATTTTGTCCCCTTTAAGGTAATCCCCACTAGATATTATTAACTTGTGCCAACGGTTTTTCCAATTCTCCAAACACTTCAAAAAATCATTTTTGTAATCTTGCTAAGCTCCCCCTTCTATGCCGTCTTTATCTCCCTAATCGTGCTTTTATGGGCCTCTTCAGTTTCGGGAACAAGAAAAAGTCATCAGTGCAAAAACCAATTTTTTGTTCTTCCACAAATCCGGGTGTTTCTGGCGAATTGCTTTGGAATTGGGCGTTGGATCCCACGTCATAACACTAGTTATGACCCTCTGGAGCAAATTTGGATCGTCGCAGTCCAGAAGCTCCTTAGCAATGTTAATGCAATGCTGTTTTTGGTCGAAATTGAGCAATTTTGGTACGAATTTCGCGGCGACTCGGCTTATTCCTAAATCACTGGCAAAAATCGAATGACAGGAGTCAATCGATATGTTTAGGTCCTCAGCAACTTCTCTAACGGTGATTTAACGATTGGTCAATACTATTTTCTTCATTTCATTAATGTTTTCGTCTGTTGTTGACGTGCTCGGACATGCCGGCACACTCTTTCATCGTTCACATCTTCTCGGCCTTCTGAGAACATTTTTTACCGCCGATAAACGTTGCTTCGGTCCAAGGTAGCTTCACCAGGTGCCGCAGTCAACATTCTGAATGCGTCGTCGCATTAAACTGTTTTGGATAGTTGGAGTAAGACCTTTCCTTTTTGTTTAGACCTCGTATTGGTGTGTATTGCATATTATGGAGGTGTCATGGTTTCGGGCCAAGGATGGTAATGAGTAAAGGTGTGGTATACCTCAACGTCATAGTGTAGGTAGGGCAAGTTGGTGTACTCATGAGGTGTATAGCCCTGAGTACACCAGCTTTTCCCATAAGTACACTGTGACATTAAGGTGTACTACACTTATGCAGAGTTCTTTACCATCTCTGGTCCGAAATCATAACACATCCGAAACGTGCAATACACAAAGGTATAATATATCAACATATGTATAGTTAAACGTATTCAGTACGTACAGTAGGTACCTGGGAAGTCCATACGGAAGTATGCAATTTTAAGGGTCCGTATTTCAAAAAGATGTTTTTTTATGACTTAGCGCTCATTGTGACTTTTGATCGACTCGTCTTGAACTACTAAAATCCAAAGCTTCAAACAGTTTGACACAGGGCCATTTTACGTAAGCGGGGTCTTTATTATTGATTATTAGTAATCTAAACTGTTCACGTTTTTTGATTTTCCAATCGCAATTCTTTTAATATTACATAAATTAAATGATTTTTACCTGATTAGAAAATTAAGTATGCTTTTTTAAATCTTTATTATTTTGTGTTGAATCTTGCATAGTATATATTAATATTATTTTTCATCTTACGCGTTAATTAATTTTATTAAGTTTTGCAAAAACTTTAATCTGTTGCTGAATATATAAAATAATATCTTGTAAATTAGATACGACGAAAAAGGAAACTGTCTTGGCACACCGGAACTTACACCACCTACCCCTTCCCGTCTTCAGTGGGATATTCGGTATGAATGTCAAGAGGCCATTAATAATGCTTTAATCACTGCCAAGAGTCTTATTGCAGACTTAGACCTAAGAATTTATGTTCACGATCATTATGGCAAAGGTATTTATTAAAATATGTTTTAAGTACATAATAAGTTAACGCGATTTGAATGCATAAATAAGAGAGTGTCCTTGAAATGTCAATTTAAGGACCTGTATAATATTAGATTAGATTAATCCCCAAAAATCAAAGTTGTATTATATTATTTATTACTTTATTCTTGTGTTTATGTAATGCTAGGTTTATTTTCAATTATCATTTGAGATTTTTGGAATCGTAACTTGGAATAGTTACCTCATTACCTCGTTACCGTAACAAATTATTATCTATTAATAATTTGCCATTCTATCATTTAAAGATTAACTTCCGTTTTATTTGTTCTTAATTTATTTTCAGAATATTTAGTTATTTTAATTCAGCGGTGGTTTACTAAAATTAATAATAATAATAAGTCTAATTTCGTCTTAGGTTTTATGAAAAAATGTAGGGTCAGTCCAGATGCTTATATCCAGATGAGCTTACAGTTAGCATATTATAGAGATGCTGGAAAATTCAGTTTAACATACGAGGCTAGCATGACTAGGCTGTTTAGGGAAGGAAGAACTGAAACTGTTCGACCTTGTTCTATAGAAGCGGAAGCCTGGGTCAAATCTATGGAGAATCCCAAGTTTACCAGCCAAGAAAGGATCAATCTTTTAAGAAAGGCGTGCCAGCATCATCAGGTAGGCGATCGAAGTAATTAATCTATTTCAAATGTAAATACGTATATTATTTTTTATTTCAGCTGTTATACCAGGACGCCATGTGTGGCAAAGGTATCGATAGGCATTTGTTCTGTTTGTATGTTGTTTCAAAATACTTGGAAGTGGACTCTCCATTCTTGAAGGAAGTGCTTAGCGAACCATGGAGATTGTCGACTTCCCAGACGCCACATGGTCAAACTAGTCGAATGGATTTGGAAAAGAATCCGGAGTGCATATCAGCAGGAGGTGGCTTCGGACCAGTAGCGGATGATGGTTATGGTGTTTCCTACATCATTGCTGGAGAAAATCTTTTGTTCTTCCATGTTTCCAATAAGAGAAGTAGTAAACAGACGGTAAGATTTTGTATTAGTTATGTTACTGCTGTTGTTAATATAAAAAAAAATTAGTTACTCCAATACTGCGTCTTCTATAAAGGAACAGTACCTACTGAAAAGAATTCCCTTTTATTTTATGTGGCATGCTTTTTTAAGTAAGTCATCATCATCACTATCATAAGGTTGTCAGTCCTAAGACTGGTTGGACACGTACCTCTACGCTTTCCTATCCTGAGCTAATCTTCGCATTTCTCTAAAACTAGAACAGCCTACATCCTTAACTATTAGCGAACAGTAATCTAATCTAGGTCTATCTCTACCTCTTCTAACTTCCGTTTCTGCCTCTAATGTGTCTCTGACTAGATCTTCCTGCCTGAGAAGGTGTCCTATTAACGTATCTCGCCTATTTCTTATTGACTTCCATAGAGTCTTCTGTTCTCCTATTCTTTCATAACCTTCTCTATCCACGGTATCCTGATCATTCGCCTGTAACATCATATCTCGACGGCTTCTAACCTTCCTAACCTAACCTTTTCATTTCCGCTGCACTCACTCAACCTAACCTAACCTTTTCATTTCATGTTTCGCACCCGTACGGCGCCGCGCTCCAAACATTCACCTTTAATAGTCTGGTTCAAATTTCTAAATTAACCGTTTGCGAGCATACAAGTGACTTCTATATTTTGAAGGCGACTCGACCCTGCGCTATCCTCTGCTTTATATCCCTACTACTTCCATCCTGACTTATCTGATTTCCTAGATACCTAAAATCAGCCACTTCCTCCAATTTTTCTCCTCCTTTCTTTATATTCTCTTTTTCCCTACTTTATCTTCCCTTGCATACCAGTATTTAAGTACCGTTAAAAAAAAAACAGGTGCAACTCAGTACACGTGAAAGAAGCGAAACTTCTTTGGCGATCTCTATACTTTTATAACGAATAAGTAATGATTGGTGAAAGAGAAAGTACGAGAATTTTCAAGATTTATGTTTTCCAGCATATTTTATTTTTAGTCTAAGTTAAAGAGTATTACTTTAATACGTTTTTATGTAACTGAATAACAAACAATTGGTCAATCTTTTTTCGCTTCCGTTTATTTTTCCAAGTGCTTAAGAAACCGTAAACTATCAATAACCACACGGAATTAGAATTGATACATAATNATGGTTACCCTATCCTCCTAAATAAATATTAATTGTTGTTAAATAAACATTAAGTGTAATACACTTACTATAATATAATTGCACAGATATAACCAAAACACTAATTTAGCACTATAGTATAGTGAATATACAGTATACAATAATATATGAGATGTCGGTTACTAACAGCTGATTGTAATACCGATATGCGCATGCGCGCCTTTCTGTTCTCATGGTCTATCGCGTCGCGAGACAAAACGTTGCAGAACGTGTCGTTTCATGGCCTTGAGATTTTACTCCCATCGAGCCCAAAGAAGTTTCACTTCAACAGGTTGATTTTTCTTTTCTGCATAAGTTCTATATTGATTAAGTCATGAAAGGATATTATCGGTTTTAATTTTTAACGCGGATTGATCATAAAAGAGGGATTTGTATTGCATGATTAATAAAAAGAGATTGAGTATAAGTTAATACCATTTAATGTATTTAAAATTCTTAACTGTCTGGCATCTTATCGAAGATTATTGTTTGTTTTCAGGATTGTCATCGTTTTGCTAGAAATATCGAAAAAGCTCTGGCAGATATGAGGAGATTATTTGAAGATCATTCGTTGGGAAATGGCAAGGCATAAAGTAAAACTCGTTATACTAGTAAATATATTAATTTGTAAAATAATAATATAAAAAAAGGCTGATGTTCCACAACCATTTCTAAGTACAAATGCAAATTAAAAATAACTATTTAACCAAATTTATAATGGCAGATAGGTAGATATCGACCATCTACTGTTAGTGCCTTAGCTTTTTCCTTTTAAAAACATAATGAAACAAACATCTATAGGAATGTCAGCTATGATTCAATACATAGTATATGGAGTGGTGTTTTTATATGGAAATGGATGTTTTATAATTGTGACCTGCTCTACTCAAAAATATTTGTACATATCTTGACATATTATTGATATTTAAGTGGAGGACGTTTTTAAAAAAAAAATTAATTTATACAAAATACTTTTAATATTGTATTAGAAGAATTTTTCTTTTCTTTGTTAAAGGCAACTATCAATGCAATTTATTACCTATTACATATATTTGTGCTTACAAGATAAGATTTAAACTCTTTAGAATTCCTTTTGTGAAAGTATTGAATAAAGTAATTGTTATTGATTTAATTTGCTATTTTTTTTTGGTTTTAAGGGAGTGCAACATCGCACTTCACGAATTCGTGATCTGTATGTATACTTGTACACAATTGATATGTCGTATAAACACGTATACTTCGTTTACTTTCTCTAGCGATGTGTTCCTTCCAATGTCTTGGATACGTACTGGCAAAATCGTAGGTAGGGAGAAAACAGCACATTATACACTGGACTCTTGTTCTTTAAACATACTTTTTCATACAGTACCTGCCAAAAGTTTTGTTCAATCATGACTAGTAGTGCGAGTCGAAGACAAGCGTTAACGCCTCTAATATGTCTTCAAATATAAATAAACTTCTCGTTGATATTTTCAGTAGTAAATGGTACCAATAACAGCACATTTGAGCAATGCAATTGTAGTGGATATAATGGTAAATTTTTCCGTGCAGTACTGTACGTATTATACGCTCCTCACCGGTTAAGAGTTTGGCCGAGAGTGGTCTCCTTTCTTTTCTAGCCTAATGCTGTTCTTTTCTACTTTGCGCCGGTCAAACTAATGGTCACATCGTTAGAGAAACTAAACGTATACTGTTCGTTTGGTTGGAGATATGCCCCTTCCCTTTATTAAGATGCGCCGTAGCATATTTCCAAATTCAATCATATTTGTCTGCGTAGCTCATTTCTTCACCGATCATCGAGCGAGAGCTAGATAAAAGTGTGAAGTACCATTTGCAAAATTATTTAAACTGCCTCGTTAAAATTTATGTAAAAGCATATTTAGCCAAAAATAATAACAAGTGAATTAACTTAACGCTCTACACACCTATAGAACTTTTGATTTGTTTTCTATTGTTAATTTATATACATTTTTGTTATAAGAAATTGCTAAATATTTACGTCTAGTACTGTACAGTTCTAGCCGATCTCCTAAGATCGCCCATCGAGAGCTCTGCTCGTTCAAGCTTGTTCCGACTATGTCTGTCTTGTTCACGCATAGTGTGTATTCTTTCTATCTTCGCGCAGATTTCTTCAAGGTCACAATTCAAACAAATAGAAATGGGCTGTATCTTATGATATGCATGCGAATGTGCACAGCGTTGCCAAGTTTACTATACATTTTAAGGACCCTTGCTCTGTATAAAACTGTTCTTTAGGCATTTATTTAATATATTAAATTTTATTGAGTATCGATAGGCATTTGTTCTGTTTGTATGTTGTTTCAAAATACTTGGAAGTGGACTCTCCATTCTTGAAGGAAGTGCTTAGCGAACCATGGAGATTGTCGACTTCCCAGACGCCACATGGTCAAACTAGTCGAATGGATTTGGAAAAGAATCCGGAGTGCATATCAGCAGGAGGTGGCTTCGGACCAGTAGCGGATGATGGTTATGGTGTTTCCTACATCATTGCTGGAGAAAATCTTTTGTTCTTCCATGTTTCCAATAAGAGAAGTAGTAAACAGACGGTAAGATTTTGTATTAGTTATGTTACTGCTGTTGTTAATATAAAAAAAAATTAGTTACTCCAATACTGCGTCTTCTATAAAGGAACAGTACCTACTGAAAAGAATTCCCTTTTATTTTATGTGGCATGCTTTTTTAAGTAAGTCATCATCATCACTATCATAAGGTTGTCAGTCCTAAGACTGGTTGGACACGTACCTCTACGCTTTCCTATCCTGAGCTAATCTTCGCATTTCTCTAAAACTAGAACAGCCTACNAGTTACTTTCAATTACCTTGTAGAGTAATACTTATTTGATTGTATATTTACTTATCTATATAATTTATGAGCAATTAAAATGGAAAAGGATTATGTTAAAAAGAAATGGTAAGTATTTCAAGCTTTAAGATTAAATAGATCATTTTAGTACGTAACTATTGTTTTTAAATTAAAACCAAATACATTGTAAATATGCATAATTAAACTATCGAATACATGTAATAGTGTATTTTAACAAAAGTAACGTAATTAGATGAATTTGAATTTCAACAGGCAAACTAAAACATTTGTTATTTATTTAAAACAATATTTTTTTAATACAGAATACAGACCACTTCGAATTATTTAATATTTTTTTAATTTTTACTCCTTTGTTTTATTTTTATTAGCTTTAAATAAATATTTTTTCGAACTTCAAGGAAAATAGTATCGCACGTTATTGTGTAGTACATTATACAGTTCGAACATCGTATGTATGAAAAATGCGATAAACAACTACCTTTACCAACGTCTTTCAATGTCATAAAAAGTTATCAGATTATCATTCTGTACTGAAAAACTGGAATGTTGTTTAAGTGTATTAGTTGTTCGCTGCTTTTCGTGCGGTCCACTCAGTTAGTTACTGTCAATGAAATTTAAACATAATTTACTTTTATATATTATTATACTTTATACTTATACAAAATTAAAAAACTTTTGTTTCGGTGTTTGTGAACATACACATTGTTTGGAATTACAATTTTAAAGGAGCTACCTAAGTACTTTAGCCAACTACTGTATAAAAGCATGTTCCAGTAATA